CAAGAAGAAGACACCGGCTCCATCCATCTCTCCACTGCCTTTATTGCAAGGGAATAAATTAAAAACAAAGAGAAACAACACCACCCCCCCTTTCCCCCAAGATTTATGCCAAATCCCCTCTGTTTGTTTGTTTGTTTGTTTGTTTGTTTCTCTTTTTCCTCCTCCCTCCAGCAAAGCGCTCCTCTCGGACGCGATTCCCCCTTCTCTACCCTCCCTCCTTTCTCTCTGCCCTTCTTCTCCCCCCTCTTCGGTTCCCAAAGTGGGAGGAACGCTCTGGGACTCACATTTCGTTTGCCGGCTTCACCACGCAAAAATAGCAAAAAAAAAAAAGCAAAAAAGCAAAAAAAGAGTTTTTCTTTTTCTCTTTTTTTTTCCCCCCCCCCCCCTTCCTCCCCCCCATTCCCTCCCGACCCCCTTTACAAACGTACACTCCACTGAGAGAACTGGAAAGCCCCGGTTAAAGCGGGCAAGGCTGAGACGGAAGCGGAATATTGGCAAAGCTGTGTATGAAAGTGTGCGAGAACGTAATAATAACCCTAATAAAAAACACAGCTCTCGGCCGCCGACGGGAGAAGGTCACGGAGCATCCACGGCTGATTTATGGACTCGGGGATGTTGTCACACGCCGAGTAAGGGCGTGAGGGGAACGTTTTTATTTGAGATTAATAACTTCAACATCCAGAACGGAAACGGGATTATGAAAGCGATGGAATGTTTCCCCAAACGAAAATATTTTTAAATGAGATTGCTTTTTTTTCTTCTTTTTTTCCTTCCTTTTCTTTTTTTCTTTTTTTTTTTTCCCCCTTCCTTTCTCTGTCCCTTTTCTAAGTCTTTCCTATGAAAGTCGCTCGCATAAAACCTCAGCGCGGCTCTAAACGCGTTCCGGTTCGACCCGTCCGTCCTGTTGCCAAACCCCAAACTGAGAGCCTCCACGTAACCCCCCCGCATTCCTCATCCCGACTCCTTCAGGAAAGCGGCCTCGTGCGTTCCCTCATGCTTTACTTTTGTCGAACCCAAAGCCAAAAGAACCGCGTGTACGTCACCCCTTCAACGCGTTGAACTCGGAAATTACCGGCGGCGTTTAACCAAAAAACTTTCGGTTCTCGTTTATTTATGACATGTTTTGTTTTGTATTTTCCTGACGTTCGGCTCCCCCATCTCAGCCCCAGACCCGAGGTGGAGATAGGAGGGGGGAAGGAGGGGGGTCAGCGATCTCAAATTGGCAGAAAGAAGAGCAGCGCCCACCGTCTGCGGTGCCACTTCGGTTACGGGCGTGTGGAAAGTGGTGAAACCCCTGGCAAAGCTGTGCTTACTCTCTTGGATGAGAGATATCCTCAGAGGAGATGCTGGGGAGGGGGGGGGGGGGGGGGAGGAGGGGGTTTTTATTAGAGCCCGTCTGCTCCCCATTTCCACCCAAACATTTCTCTCTGTGATGAATTCCCTTCGCTTTCCCTCGTCCACGCTTCTCTGACCCGAGTTTCATACTTTCTCTCTCTCTCTCTCTCTCTCTCTCTCTCTCTCTTTTTTTTCCCCTCTTCAGTTCTTCTCCTTTCTCAAACTCCACCGCAGCCCCGTGTTTGCTGGACCACACATCCGGGAACCGGTGAGTTTTGCTCTCCATCTCCTACCTGCTCCCCTTCCCTGCGCCCACCTCCCTCCTCCCCATTCACTCGGATCCATTCCTCCTCCAAAAAAATCACCCAACGCGACTTTATTCCTTCCTTTATTTCCTATTTCCCCACCAAACACGGCTGCCCCGGATTACAGCAGAATATTTTCTTTCTCCATTTCGCTACCGCCTTGTCTCGAAACTTTTGTGATTTATGGCCGTAACTTCCAGGGAGTGTTTTAAATGGAAGAGATTTCCTGAGCTTCCTTTGAAGGGAAACCCGGTCGGGTTGCAACATTTGCTGCTGATTTGGTGCGAGGGAGCTGCATTTTTAAGGCAAAAAGAAATTCAGCTGCATCCCAAGCTGAGATGGTAATATACAGGGAGCCCAAAAGCTGCTTGCAGCAGCCCAGCTTGTATACTTGCAACGACCTGCTGAATGCTTTGGTTTTTAGGCGGCTGGTTTAAGGTTAATTCCAAATGTTGCACTTCGGAAGAGTTAACTTGCAGAGCCCGAGGTATTTTTGCTTGTCAGAAGTCAGTGGAGGTCCATATTCAGAAACCTAGCCAACACTTCACCTACAGAGAAGTCCTTAAAGAAAAGTCCGCTGTAGTTTCTCCTCTTTCTTTGCCTGGAATCTCAACTCCGGGGCTCCAAACTGATAACAGACTTGCAGTAGTAATGATGTTTTCGAGCAGATCATAACCAGACTGGGGGCTGGGGGGGGGGGGGGGGGGGGCCTCAATAGTCGCATCCCCGGACGAAAGCCCTCATTCTGGGGTCTGAAGGCAGAACAATAGCTGGAAACACCGTAAACCGCGGGATAAGACTTTGTCCATCACTTAGAAAGCTTGTCTGTCCAACCCAGCATAAATCCTCTCAAAAGTCAGAGACGTTCACTTGGACACCTTGGATTTTGTTTTTTATTTCTTTCTGCCGTACTTATTCGCCTCAAGGTGCCCCCCCTAAAAAAAAAGAAGAAGAAAAAAGGCGATGGACCCCCCCCAACCTCCCCCCTCCCCCCGCTGAGGCATACCTTCCTGCGGAGTCCTCAGAGCCTTTGTGGTCACTGCTTGTCTGGCTCTGCTAAACGCAAATCCCCCCCGTCAGCACTTTTAACCCAAAGGAGCGAGCGTCAGAATTAAAGGAGAGAAGATAATTGCGATGCGGAACAAAAGTAGCACTTAAAAAAAAAAAAAAAAGAAAAAAAAAAGTGCAGACACCTCAATTCTTTGCCCTGCCTTCCTCCCACTCTTCGGCCCCTCCTCGTCACGGACTTTCCCCAGGACGCATCTTGGCGAGTTTCTCCTCTCGGCAGCGTGTGGGAGCGGGGAGAGGCATAAATCTCCCGTGGCGACAGCGGCAGAGCCTCGCATAGCAATAACGGCGATATTAATACGGCCGCTAATAGCCCTCGTCCCGTCCCACACCTCGAATCCTCCCAGGCCCCGACCCCCCCTCCCCCCCCACCCCCCGCAACCCCCTTCCTATGATCACCCGGCCTCAAACTCCCAGCCAAAGTTCCGAGGGTTCCGTCCGCCCCCTCCCCAAAACACCCCGGTTGCCCCCCCCTCTAACCCCCCCCCCCCCCCCCCCCCCCCCCCCCCCCCCCCCC